GCGAGGGACACGGTCGAATGCCTTCTCCAGATCCACGAAACACATGTGGACTGGTTGGGCAAACTCCCATGAACCCTCCACCACCCTGAAGAGGGTATAGAGCTGGTCCAGTGTTCCGCAGCCAGGACGACAAAAGTATCATAATTTCCAAAAATATATATATGTACCATACAAAAGAATGTATTTGGTGTTGGACCTGTTCTTTCTGAGTTCTGCAACTAGTCCATGTCATCCTCTGCCCTCAGCGTCCGAGCCTCCCACCATCGTCCCAGAGCTGACCTGTACCACCGGTGAAGGCGAGGCGTACCGAGGCACAATTGCTGTGACAGAGTCTGGCAAAACGTGCCAGAGCTGGTCAGCTCAGACTCCACACAAACACAACCGCAGCCCAGACAACTACCCCTGCAAGTAAGAGCTCCTGTACCAAGGAATGTGCCTGACTGATACAAAACAAATGGACAAAATATTAGTAACACCTCTTGGTATAATGCAAACACAACAAATAAGCAAAAAGCCCTCAGAGAGAAACCATAATCAGGATATACTGGCTTCATCTTTGGGTTTGTCTGTGCTCTTCTTGCTCACCATCTACTTATTTTGTCAGAGGCCTTGATAGCAACTACTGTCGAAACCCTGACAATGAGAGGATGCCCTGGTGTTACACCACTGACCCCGAGACTCGCTGGGAGTACTGCAAGGTGCCGAGCTGTGGGGATGCACCCAGACCTGGTATAGCAGAGGCTGATGATGATGTTGGCCAGTTTGAAAACAACTACAGCTAATTCAGAAAGCTTGGAAATGATTGAGCTTTATTTATTGATTTTGAGTTCATATGATTTTTATTCATGTTTTTTGCAAAGGAAGGCTCAAGTACTAGACAAAACAATGAGTAGTGGAAGTAAATGAGAATTTCTTACTCAATTACAATAAAGTTAATTACAGTGGTGATGGAGGTACATAACAAAAGAGGAAGAGACACTGACCAAGAAAACAAGGATTTTCAAAACTCTGGATCTATCTCCCATTTCTGCCTCACATGAAAATACACCATCTACTTAGCCCATATTCTTCTCCCTGATTGCAGGTGACCCAGTGATCCCGCCAGAGGAGGAAAACTGCTATGAGGGCGATGGCTCAAGCTATCGTGGCATAACATCAGAGACCATCAGTGGAAAGAAATGTCAAGCCTGGAGCTCCCATTCAGAAACAACACAGAAATTCCCCAATGCGTGAGTGTGATGACTCCTCACACCCATTCAAAAACACCACAGAAATTCCCCAATGCGTGAGTGTGAAGAATGGAGATTTGACAATTTATTTTTTAGTTCAAGCTGACAGGACATAATATACAGTACTGTCTATCACGTCAGTGGGCTGAGTGCTTCTAAGATGCAAAGGTTCAGAGGTTCTGCCATGTTGCCATGAGCTGACTCATCTGGAGTTTGCACTATTTTAATGCTTAATTTCACAAGTTTGGTCATTTTTGTAACCTGGTGCTTTACTGATCAACACAGTGGAAAATATCCTGGAAGTCTAATAGAATAAAAGCCCACTAGTCAGATTCTTTCACCGGTCAGTGACCCAGGGCTTGTGCAGCTGCTGCAGACTGGAGCCGATTCTCAACATAAATCTGCACTCTGAAATCTGGCAGCTATATATTAGATTTTGGACATAGAACAGGTTTTTGAGGTCAAATAATCAAGCCAATTTTAAGTCAATTATTTGACTAGTTGTGACATCACCAAAGCCATTATTTGTTCCTGCTGTTTACTGTCACATGAATGTTTAGGTGCAACAACTCCAGTCATTTTTCACTGTCGCTCCATCCCATCTTTTTGCTGCTAATACTCAATATTTTTGTGTCAGTGTTTTAAATGACTCCCTGTCCTGCTGTAAAACCATGGAAAGACAGCTTCATCCTGTATAAGAAGCACTGAAATAACACCACGCTTCTTTTTTTTCTGAATATCCCACCTGCTTTCCACACAAACTGTTATAAACATATAAACTGCTTCTCTTCAATGTAAAAAAGAAATCTCTAAAAAATGATCAGATTCTTTTTCAATATTCAACGATGTTTTCCTTTTCAGCTAACCAATTATTCATGCACATCAGTACTATGTAGTAAATGATAATTCAGGCTATATACTCTAAATTTTTCTTATGGTCAAGTCTCAAAATATCAAAACTGTGATGACTTGATCCTACTAACAACCATTATAGGCTTTTATTTTATGCACTTCCTCTTTCTTCCTGACCTGCTTTGCACCAGCTGTACTACTTCTGCCCATCTGGATAATCACCAGCCAATTGAAATCACCAGCAGACCTTGCGCTCTGTTTGCTAGTCCATGTGCATTATGGTGACCGGATTCCCCTCTTGCTCTCATTATTGTTTCAAGAACTTTGGACTTCACTTACTCCCCCTGCATCTGGTTTGTTTCAGTTTGCTTCGTTTGTTACTTGTTTTGTGACTCATGTTGTTAATTTTCATTGGTTGGCTCTCTTCTCTTCATTAGCCTGTTTCCTTGCCTATGTGTTTTGTGTAGTCAGGTTGAGCGTGTTTTGTTTGTTGTGTATTGTTGTTTGGAGTATTCTTACTGTTGGTTATTCTTTACCACAGTGGTGGTAATTGGTTTACTTCTTTTGTTTGTCTGTAGCTCTGAATTTCCTCATTTCTTTTCCAAGTCAGGCTTTTGCATTCTAACAGTAAACCTTAAAACATTATCTGTGGAGTTAGAGTAAGGAGAGTTTCTACAATATCTAGTTATTCAAAACTACAGTATGTCAAACGTGTGCATTTGATGTTGTGCCAGAACAAGGCTACTGCAGTTCATTTTGAATTCCTGTATCTTTCCTCCTGTTTGAGTTGTTTGCTTGCTAAAAACTACACCGCCCAGCTCTTGTAGAAAATTACCAGGCCTTTAAAAATGGCATTAAGTTAATACATTTTTTTTAAATTAAGAGTTGGGGATAGGTGCCACACTGGGGAAGTGTTAAGGCTTTGCAAGGTACACTGTTGGTTTAGATCTTTTTCTGAAATATATTGACACTAACAAAAATACAGAATATCACCAGCCTTATCCTTGGATGTCAAAACAACATGGCACATGGCACATGACTAAAACAACATCCATCCATCTTCATCCGCTTCATCTGAGACCTGGTCGCGGGGGCAGTAGTTCGAGCAGAGCCTCCCAGACTTCCCTTTCCCCACACACCTCCTCTAGCTCCTCAGGAGGAACCCCAAGGCGTTCCCAGGCCAGCCGGGAGACATAGTCTCTCCAACGTGTCCTGGGTCTGCCCGGAGGCCTTCTCCCGGAGGGACATGCCCGAAATACCTCCCCAGGGAGGCTTCTGGGAGCCATCCTAAACAGGTGCTCGAGCCACCTCAGCTGGTTCCGCTCAACGTGGAGGAGCAGTGGCTCTACTCTGCGCTCCTCACAGGTGACTGAGCTCCACACCCTATCTCTAAGGGTGCCCCCAGCCACTCTCCAGAGGAAACTCATTTCTGCTGCTTGTATCCATGATCTCATTCTTTCAGTCATGATCCAAAGTTCATGGCCATAGGTAAGGGTAGGAACGTAGATCAACCGGTAAATTGAGAACTTTATCTTACGACTCAGATCCTTCTTCACCACAACAGACCGGTACAGAGATCGCATGACTGCGGACACCGCACCGATCTGTCTGTCGACCTGCCGCTCCATTTTTCCCTCACTCGTGAACAAGACCCTGAGATACTTAAACTCCTCCACTTGGAGGACTAAAAGAACAATGAAGTAAAATTTGACACCCAAGCAAAAGTTTATAAAGCAGAAAACATTTGTAAAATGAACATTATCTGTGAGGTATTTGGTCAGAACAAGTCTGCTACTACTGTACATCTTTAATTATTTTCCAGGTTTGATTTAACTGGTTGGTGGAGAGTTCCTGCCTCAAGTGGAGGAGTTCAAGTATCTTGGAGCCTTGTTCACAAGTGAGGGAAGGATGGAACGGGAGATTGACAGGCGGATCGGTGCAGCTTCTGCAGTAATGCAGTCGATGTACCAGTCCGTCATGGTGAAGAAGGAGCTGAGCTGTAAGGCGAAGCTCTCGATTTACTGGTCGATCTACGTTCCGACTCTCACCTATGGTCATCAACTTTGGGTCATGACCGAAAGGGCAAGATCCCGGATACAGGTGGCCGAAATGAGCTTCCTCCGCAGAGCGGCCGGGCGCACCCTTAGAGATAGGGTGAGGAGCTCGGTCACCCGGGAGGAGCTCAGAGTAGAACCGCTGCTCCTCCACATCGAGAGGAGCCAGCTGAGGTGGCTCGGGCATCTGTTTCGGATGCCTCCTGGGCGCCTTCCTAGG